GAAAAAAAGTTAAAAATCATTATCTCCTTCAACATAATGCTTAGGCAACAGCATTTATCACTATTGCTGGACAAAGAAAAAGGAATCATTATTACAAAGAATAAATAAAAAATAAAAATAACACTATATGAATCACAGACATGTGTATGTAGAAATCACTCATGTAAACTTGCCAGGGACTCTCCTCGTAAAGCCCAAATGGCTTTGCTCGTCCAAGTATCAGTTAGTCACAAAACTTCTTGAAGTACATTTGGAATGGGCATTGATTGATGGTTACTTAAACAAATTAACGGACCCTGGCCTAGTCAGCCTCCACCATTTTCGATGCCATCGAAATTATTGATCTTGCATAATGAACCAAAACCTCATTGCTTTACTGTAAGTTGTGTACCTGAAAGTATGTTGAATTATATCTTTAGTAGTTTCATGGTGATTTCCTTCGTTTCGACATGTTCCGAATAAAATATACAATAGCGAAACTCTCGCATGTAAACAGAAACAAAGGTGTGACTGACTAGGGCCCTTTAATCACTGACCAAGTCAAATAAGTCACGACTGGCGTTTTTCCAGTTAGCATATTGAAATACTTAACATGGGGAGGTTTAGACTTGAAAGGAAGATCTATAGCGGAACTACTAAAACGGATAATTATTTTTATCTCTCATAGTTTGAATCTGAATAACATAACGCTGATGCCCACACTGTCACTCCATGTACATAACAATCGCCCCTATACCGTTAGTTAACAGGAATTCATTGAAAAATTCTTCGTTACCCACCGACACGACACTCCCCTGTAAGTGCAGGACAACACCATTTCATCAAATTGATGACCCAATAAAGAGAGAATTTGCACATCTTCTCTTGCTAAATACACTGCCATTTCCTCGCCTCGCAGAAACTGAGAATCAAGTTGGTCTGGATTTTCAAAGTTATCATCTTGCCAGGTCTCGTCTGTAAAGTTGGTTGTTGAAGAACTTTCTGACGTCGGCTTTGACGTGGAATTAATTTGGGGATTGTCGACATTTGATCCATCTGTGAAAATATCAAAACTTTTTAGTAACAGTATCTACACCTGTGGGCGGAAAATACCGCCGATGGCTTTAACTTTAACTTTCTCAATCATATTCAAGCAAAACTTAACTTTCATAGAGTTATATTCCTTTTTAAGGCGCTTTGGTATTGTTGTGTTGTTTGTAGCTAGGTTGAGTTATTTTTGTGATTTCCCCGACGTCCTAAAGTAATGAAAAAAGTCAAGATGGCGAATCCAAAATGTCATCATGACGAGACGGGCAAAATGGGATAGCGAGGGATGCATATGACTGGGTACCATTCAACTGGTAATGTGGAAAACTCCGAATTATCAATCGGATAGGTTTTGGGTTAAGCTGTTTTTGTTTTATTTTTGTTTAGCTTTTTCCCAGTTGTTCAGCTATATTATGGAATAACAGAACTGAAATGGAAATTCTCTTACTCAAATTGTGTAAATCTTGAACAAACGCCGTCAAGTTGTTGTTCTTGTTCCCTTGAATTGAGAAGTTTTTGAGTGCATTGTAGTTGCAGAAAGTAACCATTGGAAAATCCAAACTCTGCAACATTACAGAAAAGAGGAAATGTAAAAGTTCTTCGTAAAGGTTTGTGTTACTTTCAATGTTATCTCTAATTTAACTACTAGCTCGTTGATGGTCACCAATGAGTCTAACTCTGATAAAACAATCAAGAAGAAAACAGAGTTGCTCCCCAACCTGAGGCTAATTCGGCCTGCTACTTATTTCTATCGAGTTTGTTTTGATTGACACTGAGTTTACCACGCCTAGTCAATGGCGAAATGACTAAAGTTTTGCTTTCAGCAAATTAGAGTACCAGAAATTTTAAAGGTTTTCCACGAATATCGAATCTAAGACGGAAAACATAGTGTCTCCTATTCTGGTAATTAAACCGCTCCCTTTACACGAAAACTATTTGGGATTTTTAAATTTTCTTTTACTACACATCTCGTTCAACAACAAATCTTGTAACATCAAAATATTTGTGTTTGACAATGCAAAAATTGTTCCTTTACAGAAAAGCTAACACATTTATTGCTCTACTAGACTTCCCGGTTGTTTTACGGACTTACCGTCTCCTTTTCGACAGTAACTAACGTTGTTAGCGGTCGACTTTCATACTTGTCCAGCAAAGAATAGACTTGAATACAAAGCATTGTCACAGCTCCAATAAACAATAAACTCCAGAACACTGTCCTGGTCCAGTGTTTGACACTAGATATCCTTCCCAGTCCGTGCGCGGACGTGTAGTCGCAGAAATTCCATATAAGGGAACAAAAAGAAGTCTTGTGTACACTTATCTTTTTCTCCTCGTTTTTAACTTCAGGAGTTTCCATGGCAACCTTCAAGTACTCGGTCTCAGCCTAAGCGAAAAGGGGTTGACAAAGAGAAACGTTTCATATAAAGAAATAATTTTAATTAGTATTCTCTAAAATTAAAAAAAAAAAATCAAAATTTGGCATCTACGTACGAACATTGTTTTCACTCGTGGAAAGATCTGCTAGACCAGAGGTTAATCCCATTAGATTTTTCAGCCCTGAATTGAACTCTAAGCAGTTCTTGGGTAACTTAACACAACTAAGTTAACGTATTATGATCAGAGCGATTGATACATTTTGTATTTCGCAAGTTTATCATGCATTACCATACGTATTTGCCGACATAAGTTTAAGGGGTTAATGTGAGAAAATGTTCTTTAAACCACAGCTAATCTTTTGTTTTGAAAGAAAAAAAAACTGCAATCAAACTTAAACATTTTACTTGTTCGTTATAAATTTTTCAAAAAAAAATGTTATACTTCTTGAGTAAGGGTCAATAAATAATATTTGCATTCAAAACCTTCGTTTGTAATTACCTTGTGACTACTTTTTCCTCAGGGAGTGCAAAGAACTTAAATGTCGTGAACAGACCGAAGTGAGCGAAGAATTGCATGAGTCATCTTCACCTTTATGTTAAAGATAATCTTGAGCTGAAAGAGATTATTATTGTAAATTTAAACTGGCTCATCAAGTTCTGAATCTCTTGGAGTGCAACACAGCGGGGACTGTTTAGTTACGCTGTTTGAAAATTCATTGGGTTACCGTAAGCTTTTTCAGAAACTTTGCCAGCCTTAAATAATGAACCACCTCAGTTATGAATAAAATATAGGCATGTAGTTTGGAAACTCTGCAGTAATCGTTATCCGGCTAATTCAAACATTAAGAATCTAGAAAGACCGGCCAATTACTATAAAATCTGATGCGTACTCTATGTTATATAGATGAAGCTGGGATTTCTTAAACGTCGTGTATAATATTGGAAGCATTGTTTTGACTCCCATGCGCGCAGTAAGTATTTTCTACTTGGCTGAAAACCAATCTCTGTTTGTAGCGATCTGTAGAAATGACGGGTAATTGAATCAAACCAAGTGTAATATCTAACTTTATTTACTCGATAGCATGCTCAGTCGAATTTGAATAAACTTACTGTGATAAAATTGAATTTCAGCGGAAAATGTATAATGCAAAATGTACCCTTTGGTGAATTAAATTAAATCATGCATAATACTAATCAATGCTGTGTATTGTTGTGTCTTCCCATGTTTCTTAGCTTATATCCACTTTCATTCGCGACCAATTAAAATGAAGATGATACAGAACATTTTATTCAAAATGTTTGAAAAATAAACCATTTGGTTATTACTTTGGAGCACAAATGGATCTCACATTTGGTCTAGAGAAAGTTTTCCTACCTCCAGTTTCGAAGGTATTGATAATTGAAGTGACCGTGAATTAGGGATAATTAAACACTACTGTTTGTTATTTTTTCGAAGAAACAAAATTGTAAAGCATTTCCCTGCCACCCTCATATGAATCGACATAACAAAACTCCCTCCTGAGACATGCATGCAATTGCTCCTCACTGCGTTTTTTTTTTTTAAACAAAAAGATTAGGAAACAAGGCTACCTAATTTCTGACTGAGAATGCATGTCATTTATGTTTCCTGTGTTCTTTAAACAAGATAATATTAACAAAAGAGGCAGTTCTGACTGAGAAAACCAGCTACTTCCATATCCATAAAAAGAATAACAGCTGCCTTGTTGTGACGTCACTATGAACATATAACACTCCATTTTTATGTTTCTGTGAAAAGGAATTCTACTAAGATGACTGGGCACTAGTTTAGATCCTATAGATCAGAAGCCGAGATTGGGTGCTAATTGGCTTGTGCGAGTGGATTTTCTGCCTCCTTCGCGTTGGCCGCTTCGCTTTTATGTACCATTCAACGGCTTTAAGAGACTTCATTTTTATTTTTAGGTTTTTTTCTTTCATAGGTTGTTTTGAGATGCGGTACGTTATCTGTTTGCGTGTATCGAAAATCTCTCCTCGTACCTTCCGTAATTTAATTGCATTTAAGCTTGTGCTTAATTGCATGTCTGTTTTCATTTATCGAAAATCCAGCTTCCTAATTTGGTGTAGGATTTGAAAATGTTGATTGCAGTTGTTTTGTTTACTGATAGATTTCTTTCATTATTCCTTTAGGTGTTCATATCGGGAGTTAGTTTGCTCACACAAACCAACTCAGCTTGTGATTAGTGCAGGTTGCGCAGGGACTGGTATGCTTTCGCAAGCTAACATTTATCGGGAAGGGGTAAGGGATCGGGTGGAAAAAAACGTGAACAAGAAGTGGATGGAGCAGCACCCTTTCCCGTTAGAGCATTCCGTTTCCAATAAGCAGCCCAGTTTAATTTCCTCAACANTACAAATGAAACGGGAAAACAACTTATCATTTACAAAAAAGGCTAATTTTTATGGCTTGATATAGTTATAAGCACAATTATTGTGTAAGTTATATTCTCAGTGTCATTTTTCCACTCAGACGTAAAAGTGATTAGCTTTCAACAAAATTCAACTTTTCCGCGTGATTTGGCTACACTTCTGTGCGTATGTGATTACGGGAAATCGTAGGCGAGAGGTGACAGGGAGAGAGCGATATTCCATATCGTTCAGTTCTTGTTGGTAAGCAATCTTTGAAAAGAAAACTCAGCTGTGAGATGCCTTCTAACATCGAAAAGGTCATTTCAGTCTGGTATTAAGATAACGTTTTTTTTTTTTCGATTTTATCTGTTTGATTTCAAGGCAGGCAGTTTGTAATTGTTTGTGATATTCACCTTGAGATGGCCCAGGATTGTTGGATTTTAAAATCTCTACTTCGACGCCATTAACCTCGCCTCTGTTGAACACAAAACAGTTTCCATACTTGTAATGCCAAAACGAAGTCCAAAACGAGGTCGTGTAGTTTCTGACGAAAAAATGGACCTTTGTTATAATGGGTATGGATTTGTTGGAATTGCACTAAACAACTTTAAATTACGAGGGAAATATGATATGGAATGACTTGCCAAATTCAATCAACAAAAAGTTTTTCAAGAAAAAAAGTTAAAAATCATTATCTCCTTCAACATAATGCTTAGGCAACAGCATTTATCACTATTGCTGGACAAAGAAAAAGGAATCATTATTACAAAGAATAAATAAAAAATAAAAATAACACTATATGAATCACAGACATGTGTATGTAGAAATCACTCATGTAAACTTGCCAGGGACTCTCCTCGTAAAGCCCAAATGGCTTTGCTCGTCCAAGTATCAGTTAGTCACAAAACTTCTTGAAGTACATTTGGAATGGGCATTGATTGATGGTTACTTAAACAAATTAACGGACCCTGGCCTAGTCAGCCTCCACCATTTTCGATGCCATCGAAATTATTGATCTTGCATAATGAACCAAAACCTCATTGCTTTACTGTAAGTTGTGTACCTGAAAGTATGTTGAATTATATCTTTAGTAGTTTCATGGTGATTTCCTTCGTTTCGACATGTTCCGAATAAAATATACAATAGCGAAACTCTCGCATGTAAACAGAAACAAAGGTGTGACTGACTAGGGCCCTTTAATCACTGACCAAGTCAAATAAGTCACGACTGGCGTTTTTCCAGTTAGCATATTGAAATACTTAACATGGGGAGGTTTAGACTTGAAAGGAAGATCTATAGCGGAACTACTAAAACGGATAATTATTTTTATCTCTCATAGTTTGAATCTGAATAACATAACGCTGATGCCCACACTGTCACTCCATGTACATAACAATCGCCCCTATACCGTTAGTTAACAGGAATTCATTGAAAAATTCTTCGTTACCCACCGACACGACACTCCCCTGTAAGTGCAGGACAACACCATTTCATCAAATTGATGACCCAATAAAGAGAGAATTTGCACATCTTCTCTTGCTAAATACACTGCCATTTCCTCGCCTCGCAGAAACTGAGAATCAAGTTGGTCTGGATTTTCAAAGTTATCATCTTGCCAGGTCTCGTCTGTAAAGTTGGTTGTTGAAGAACTTTCTGACGTCGGCTTTGACGTGGAATTAATTTGGGGATTGTCGACATTTGATCCATCTGTGAAAATATCAAAACTTTTTAGTAACAGTATCTACACCTGTGGGCGGAAAATACCGCCGATGGCTTTAACTTTAACTTTCTCAATCATATTCAAGCAAAACTTAACTTTCATAGAGTTATATTCCTTTTTAAGGCGTTTTGGTATTGTTGTGTTGTTTGTAGCTAGGTTGAGTTATTTTTGTGATTTCCCCGACGTCCTAAAGTAATGAAAAAAGTCAAGATGGCGAATCCAAAATGTCATCATGACGAGACGGGCAAAATGGGATAGCGAGGGATGCATATGACTGGGTACCATTCAACTGGTAATGTGGAAAACTCCGAATTATCAATCGGATAGGTTTTGGGTTAAGCTGTTTTTGTTTTATTTTTGTTTAGCTTTTTCCCAGTTGTTCAGCTATATTATGGAATAACAGAACTGAAATGGAAATTCTCTTACTCAAATTGTGTAAATCTTGAACAAACGCCGTCAAGTTGTTGTTCTTGTTCCCTTGAATTGAGAAGTTTTTGAGTGCATTGTAGTTGCAGAAAGTAACCATTGGAAAATCCAAACTCTGCAACATTACAGAAAAGAGGAAATGTAAAAGTTCTTCGTAAAGGTTTGTGTTACTTTCAATGTTATCTCTAATTTAACTACTAGCTCGTTGATGGTCACCAATGAGTCTAACTCTGATAAAACAATCAAGAAGAAAACAGAGTTGCTCCCCAACCTGAGGCTAATTCGGCCTGCTACTTATTTCTATCGAGTTTGTTTTGATTGACACTGAGTTTACCACGCCTAGTCAATGGCGAAATGACTAAAGTTTTGCTTTCAGCAAATTAGAGTACCAGAAATTTTAAAGGTTTTCCACGAATATCGAATCTAAGACGGAAAACATAGTGTCTCCTATTCTGGTAATTAAACCGCTCCCTTTACACGAAAACTATTTGGGATTTTTAAATTTTCTTTTACTACACATCTCGTTCAACAACAAATCTTGTAACATCAAAATATTTGTGTTTGACAATGCAAAAATTGTTCCTTTACAGAAAAGCTAACACATTTATTGCTCTACTAGACTTCCCGGTTGTTTTACGGACTTACCGTCTCCTTTTCGACAGTAACTAACGTTGTTAGCGGTCGACTTTCATACTTGTCCAGCAAAGAATAGACTTGAATACAAAGCATTGTCACAGCTCCAATAAACAATAAACTCCAGAACACTGTCCTGGTCCAGTGTTTGACACTAGATATCCTTCCCAGTCCGTGCGCGGACGTGTAGTCGCAGAAATTCCATATAAGGGAACAAAAAGAAGTCTTGTGTACACTTATCTTTTTCTCCTCGTTTTTAACTTCAGGAGTTTCCATGGCAACCTTCAAGTACTCGGTCTCAGCCTAAGCGAAAAGGGGTTGACAAAGAGAAACGTTTCATATAAAGAAATAATTTTAATTAGTATTCTCTAAAATTAAAAAAAAAAAATCAAAATTTGGCATCTACGTACGAACATTGTTTTCACTCGTGGAAAGATCTGCTAGACCAGAGGTTAATCCCATTAGATTTTTCAGCCCTGAATTGAACTCTAAGCAGTTCTTGGGTAACTTAACACAACTAAGTTAACGTATTATGATCAGAGCGATTGATACATTTTGTATTTCGCAAGTTTATCATGCATTACCATACGTATTTGCCGACATAAGTTTAAGGGGTTAATGTGAGAAAATGTTCTTTAAACCACAGCTAATCTTTTGTTTTGAAAGAAAAAAAAACTGCAATCAAACTTAAACATTTTACTTGTTCGTTATAAATTTTTCAAAAAAAAATGTTATACTTCTTGAGTAAGGGTCAATAAATAATATTTGCATTCAAAACCTTCGTTTGTAATTACCTTGTGACTACTTTTTCCTCAGGGAGTGCAAAGAACTTAAATGTCGTGAACAGACCGAAGTGAGCGAAGAATTGCATGAGTCATCTTCACCTTTATGTTAAAGATAATCTTGAGCTGAAAGAGATTATTATTGTAAATTTAAACTGGCTCATCAAGTTCTGAATCTCTTGGAGTGCAACACAGCGGGGACTGTTTAGTTACGCTGTTTGAAAATTCATTGGGTTACCGTAAGCTTTTTCAGAAACTTTGCCAGCCTTAAATAATGAACCACCTCAGTTATGAATAAAATATAGGCATGTAGTTTGGAAACTCTGCAGTAATCGTTATCCGGCTAATTCAAACATTAAGAATCTAGAAAGACCGGCCAATTACTATAAAATCTGATGCGTACTCTATGTTATATAGATGAAGCTGGGATTTCTTAAACGTCGTGTATAATATTGGAAGCATTGTTTTGACTCCCATGCGCGCAGTAAGTATTTTCTACTTGGCTGAAAACCAATCTCTGTTTGTAGCGATCTGTAGAAATGACGGGTAATTGAATCAAACCAAGTGTAATATCTAACTTTATTTACTCGATAGCATGCTCAGTCGAATTTGAATAAACTTACTGTGATAAAATTGAATTTCAGCGGAAAATGTATAATGCAAAATGTACCCTTTGGTGAATTAAATTAAATCATGCATAATACTAATCAATGCTGTGTATTGTTGTGTCTTCCCATGTTTCTTAGCTTATATCCACTTTCATTCGCGACCAATTAAAATGAAGATGATACAGAACATTTTATTCAAAATGTTTGAAAAATAAACCATTTGGTTATTACTTTGGAGCACAAATGGATCTCACATTTGGTCTAGAGAAAGTTTTCCTACCTCCAGTTTCGAAGGTATTGATAATTGAAGTGACCGTGAATTAGGGATAATTAAACACTACTGTTTGTTATTTTTTCGAAGAAACAAAATTGTAAAGCATTTCCCTGCCACCCTCATATGAATCGACATAACAAAACTCCCTCCTGAGACATGCATGCAATTGCTCCTCACTGCGTTTTTTTTTTTTAAACAAAAAGATTAGGAAACAAGGCTACCTAATTTCTGACTGAGAATGCATGTCATTTATGTTTCCTGTGTTCTTTAAACAAGATAATATTAACAAAAGAGGCAGTTCTGACTGAGAAAACCAGCTACTTCCATATCCATAAAAAGAATAACAGCTGCCTTGTTGTGACGTCACTATGAACATATAACACTCCATTTTTATGTTTCTGTGAAAAGGAATTCTACTAAGATGACTGGGCACTAGTTTAGATCCTATAGATCAGAAGCCGAGATTGGGTGCTAATTGGCTTGTGCGAGTGGATTTTCTGCCTCCTTCGCGTTGGCCGCTTCGCTTTTATGTACCATTCAACGGCTTTANAACAAGGCTACCTAATTTCTGACTGAGAATGCATGTCATTTATGTTTCCTGTGTTCTTTAAACAAGATAACATTAACAAAAAAGGCAGTTCTGACTGAGAAAACCAGCTAATTCCATATCCATAAAAGGAATGACAGCTGCCCTGTTGCAACGCCACTATGGACATATGACATTCCATTTTTATGTTTTTGTGAAAAGGAATTCTACTGGGCACTAGTTTAGATCCTATAGATGAGAAGCCGAGATTGGGTGCTAATTGGCTTGTGCGAGTGGATTTTCTGCCTCCTTCGAGTTGGCCGCTTCGCTTTTATGTACCATTCAACGGTTTTAAGAGACTTCATCTTTATTTTTAGTTTTTTTTCTTTCATAGGTTGTTTTGAGATGCGGTACGTTATCTGTTTGCGTGAATCGAAAATCTCTCCTCGTACCTTCCGTAATTTAATTGTATTCAAGCTTGTGCTTAATTGCATGTCTGTTTTCATTTATCGAAAATCCAGCTCCCTAATTTCGTGTAGGACTTGAAAATGTTGATTGCAGTTGTTTTGTTTACTGATAGATTTCTTTCATTATTCCTTTAGGTGTCCATATCGGGAGTTAGTTTGCTCACACAAACCAACTCAGCTTGTGATTAGTGCAGGCTGCACAGGGACTGGTATGCTTTCGCAAGCTAACATTTATCGCCTTTCGCAAGCCAACATCTCGCTAGCCAACATTTATTATATGGCTGTGTCTCACAAGGACTGGGAACTACCGAATTCACGAATTTGATTGGCTGAAATCGATATTGACCGCGATCTAGATTTTCC